AAACACCGAAACAGAAAACAAGTTCTGAAAATTTGTCAATGCTTTCCATTATATTCTCTTTGTATAATATAGGACCAGATGAAAGGAAAGCATAGGTGTATTATATGTAAGGGGAATATATGGAAAGAATTATCATTTTATTTTTGAAAATAGGGTAAAATCGAATGCCACGCCTATAAAAATTGTATAAAACTATTGAGGAGACGTACAAGGGGAGATGAATGCATATTTTTTATACATTTATATAAAAAAGATTATATATTATACTAACTACTGTAAGGGCAATTACGTTGAAGGCAATAAACTAGACATTGTCGCCTAACCAAATGAATAAATATTTTTCGAGAAAAACAACACTTCACTTATTTTCTGAATATACCTCCTACATAGATATATATATATATAATATACATATTTTTGATAACAGGAGTTAATCTCTTTATTGAGTTTTTTATTTAACAAATAACAAGGTACGAGTATATGGGATGAATACCATCTTCGAAAAAAGCCTAAGGGAAGTATACTTCTCCACTTTCATATAGAACACATCCTAGGTCTCTTTCTACACTTCTATACGATTCATATAATTTAGAATTTTTTCAAGCATGTCTTTCTACACTTTGTTTAAATTCTGCACCTCGTTTAAGCCATTTCACTTAACATGATATCCACAGCTTAAGTGAAGGGATCGACGCGCATTGAATATTTGATTATAGTTGTTTTTTCCCATATGCTGTTTATATCAAAATGGCTAAATATGAATGCTTCTGTATAAACATATAAATATATTTAATGCCGTGTTATGTGTATTAGTGTTAATCACATTAGATTTGCAATCACTTTCGTTCATCCCCCATTTTATGCACGCAATTGTGTGTCGGAGTCGTGTTCGCAGAATGAAATACATCTATGATTTAATCATTGCCTTAACATGCGTAAAGCTAATCTATTTTTTATTGTTTATAATTGCCTGTCACTTACTTCGGCGAACACGATAATTCACTTAGTGCTCCTGTAAAACTTGACAATATCAACGAGACTTTCAGGGACGATTTTAATAATTTAACGTAAGCATGATTAAAAGTAAAGGTATAGCGCATTCTCTTCAGAGCAATAGATTGATAAAAGGACTACAGTTTATCATTTCACAATTTTCCTTTAATTGAATATACGCGCCAGAAAATCGATAAAAACAGATTAAAATATAAATCTTTGATTTAGATTTGACTTCTACGTGGTGATGATTACGGTCCAACGGTTAGTTGATGCCATCGCCCAGATTGTGTCAACATATTTGCAAAAAGACTCTCCTTGTGCTCTTCAGTAAATAGCTCAGTTATCTACTACGTTGATGCGGTTAATATGCGCTTACTTTGGACAGTTACTTTTTCTATAAATTTCTGCGCTTTGGCTAAACGTAGCTCTTATTGCTTTCCCAGATGTACGATTTTTACTGAAGACTGAAGAAATTTTCGGTTGAGAGATCGTCAGAATTCTTTACAAACGTAATTTTTCATACTTGCTGCTAACGTTTTTCGGCCTCGGCGTAGCCTTATTTTAAAAAGTCATTATATGAGAAAAAATTGCGATTTCAAAAATTCCTGAAAGAAAAAAGGATCGAGTAATAGTATATAGGCATTCCATATTGATGTGAGAAACTAGCATCAAATGGTGCGATTTTTGAACCCCAGAATTTATAAGAAGTTCTCATGAAACTAACTATGTCGAGACAATTTCTTATTGTAGTTTTTCGTGATGAAAACAATTGAAAAATGGTCAAATTCTTAAATAAATTAACTTTGCTAAATTTTGATTAAATCAGCTGACGTGAAATGAATGAACAACTTCATTAGAGGAACCGATGTAGGGTACACGGTTTTGCCTTATTATAATGTTTTTGTTTGTTTTCATTATTTTTAGTAACTTCAAGTATCCTATGCATTAAGACTTCAAATAAATAATCTGAATGAGCTTTAAAAAACCAAAGGTTAAAGGTAATGTAGAAACATATAAAATAGATGAAATAGGCGTCCAAATTGTATATAAGTATTTATTGTAGGTAAAAGCGAAAGGACTTTCAGTTCATTGAAATATTTATTGCTTCCACCATTATCTGAGCTGATGGGCATCTACTAACCTGCTCTCTATTGACTCTGATCTAATCTGCTATTTGTAACACTCAGAAATATTGGTCATTCTTGGACTGACACGAAGCTAGTTTTCGATCTACAAGAGCTCGACAATAGCTAGTATTCGATCTCAGATCTGAGTATAGAAAAAGAATTTTTTCGTCTACTAAATGGAATATTGGATATGCGAATTTCGACATACCCACTACTATTCTTTTTGCATTCTACTCTCGAAGTTCTTTTATTTGATACCCATATCGATGGTATTATTAAGAAAAAATTTATCGCGGTGTCTACCACATTCAGTTTAAAATTTACCCATTTTTAGGCAGATAATATATCTTCATCTGAGAAGTGTACAAAATATTTTTAAACATTCCGTCTTATTGGCCTTTTGATAAATGAGCAAAAAACCTCGAAAAAGTTAAAAAAACAAAATCGAATTACTCGCAACCTTGTGCGGGCATGGCCGATTGTTTCCATTTTTGCACGTGAAGAGTAAGGTGTTTCGTAAAGTAATTATAGAATATTTTAGCTATCTAACTTTAATAATTTCCGACTAACGAGCATATTTCCAAAAAATTTTGGAAAAAAAAACCGGACTTACGTCCAGCTTATGCTCCACTACGCGCATCTGCTCTAACCAATTTGGCCCATTTTGAATACTAACCTACATAGAGAAACTTCCAATGTTTCTAACAAGAGAGTGCCAAAAACACACACCACACAGACGCACAGACGGACAGACATGGTTAAATTAACTCAAAATTTCACCCTAATCAAGGAAATATTTACTTTATGGAGTCTCTGAACCTTTCTTATGGTGTTGGGTATAATAATATCGACCAGAAATCTGAAAATGCTGTCATGGTTAAGGAATATATATTTGCTTTATAGTGTCTCTGAGATATTCACTTCTGAGTTTTCCAAATAAAATAATCCCAGTGCATACCCAACCTTCCGTAGTGTATGCTTAAAACAAAGCTATATACAAATTCACAAATATGTGTCACATTTCGGTATTCCTGACAATTGTCGACATGGGTTATTACATTTTACAAATCAAGTATAATTTCTGTGACGGACATTAAATGACTTTTCTGTTTTTTTAAAAAGGTTTCTGCAGGAGAGCTTTGAATAAAGAAGGCAAATTACAAATACATATAAGTGATATTGCGACAACATGTGTTCAAATTCTCATAAGCTATTGCGAACCCATCGAAGCACTAACCACAAAATGTACGTGAACAAGTAAATAAACTTTTACTCAGTAGTCTAATATCAAATTCAAATTTTCTACTTTATCTACATAAGTCGCAGTCGCGTAAGAAAACATAATTTTAACGAGATTTTTATTGGAAACTTTATAGGCTTCTCGAAGAATGCCCGGCAAAATCGGGAATTTATTCTCTAAAGGACCGATATAATTGCACGTAAAGTTGGTTAATATTAGTTTACCCAAGAAAAGCGGCATATTTTCGGCTGTCACTGTATTCGCTTACATTCAATTAATTGAATTCTTTTTATTTTTTAAATTACAATCATTAAAATCAATATGAAATAATACACGTCACCGCATTTATGTATATTAGTATTTATGATAAATATTTTATTTATGTCAAACACTTGATAGAAAATCGAAAAATAATAAACAGTAGTTGAAAAATAGCCAAGAGACGGTTCATATTTTCACGAAGAGTGTCTTTAAAATTTCAATAGAAAGCAGTTACGCAATGAAAGTGTGAAGTGCTAAAAGATTATAAAAAATAATCAAGTTTTTTTATTTTAACGCATGACTAAACTGAAACTGTTTAAATTTAAACCTAAAGCAAAGCTAAAGTATATTATATTTCTTCGGAAAAATATTTTCTTACCATCTGTCCAAGAGGAGTGTAAGAATTGTCTACCTTTTTTTTTGCAACATTAAAAAGTACTCATTAGAGATTTTTTAAAATCGGTATGCTTTTGAATACCATCAAAATATATATGCCGACTTAAAACGAAATCTCTGAAAAAAGTGACAGCTCGCAAAATTTGGTGCAAGTATTCGTTTAACAAACACAAAAAATTTGAAAGAATAAAAAAAGATAACATTTCTATTGTCTTTGACTATTTTAAATAACGGTTTCAATTTGCGTTGAATAATCAAAAGAAGTTCAGGATAGAAAATGCATTCAAATTGCAAGAATTAACCAACTATTTTTTAAAATGTAATTGATGAGGATCGAAAGCAGAATAGAATTGAAAGTTTAAAGATTTTTATCTCACCATTTATTAAAATACATATTTGCTATAATAATCCGCACATATTTCTTTCACTTTTGTTTTATGGCTTCAAACTAGGGATTGTTGATTCTTGCACTATGTTAAATATGTTCTCACATTGCAACATTTTCTATATTATTTTCTTAGTTAAAATATTGTTCAAAATGGTATATAACTTTTCACGAAACTTTTTCCATAGAAAATTAATTTCAATAGAAAACTTGTCCAGACAAGATGCCAAGTGCTGCTAACTTTCACATAAAAACAAAGAAAGAAAATTAAATATTAGTAAACGAACATATTTAGTGTAGATCACAACCGCTTTATTTTTTAAGAAATTTCTCAATACCATCAGAATTCTTATTAATGTGGCAACACTTCACTTTGTAAATATAAGCTGTGAATACGAAATACATAAGTTTTACGTTCCACGAAAAAGCATTAACATAAAAAAAATCATCAGTCATTTCATACTTTGTAGAAGCAGCAGCTTGAATAAAAATACTGTAAGAAAACTATAAACTGTGGCATTGATATCGGCATCACTGGCGTAAAATAAAAGAAGTTTGTTTTGTGGAAAAGTGCTCAGTTTTCATCAAATTTTCACAGAAAATACTCAAAAACTTGAGACGATAACATTTTGAAAAGGAAAACTGACAGGATTTCCTTTATCTTATAGCGTGAAAAAATCGAAAAATTAAAGTCAAACTTTAACATTAGCGGCGCGTGAGAAGTGACAGCTGCTGACATTCGAGTTTTTGCGTGTATTTGTTTGTGTGGGAAATTGTTTTTGTATACTGTTTGGCTGATTAGAGCTGTGACTTGTTTGTGTTTTATTGTTTTCTTTTTTTTTTCGTGACCATCCATAGCGGGAATCTGCAAAGGATAAAAAGTGAAAAACTCGAAATATCGCCGATAAATAATCAAATGAAAAGTGCCAATTTTTTTTTCTATTTACTTTTAATATCAATTTTTGTATCCAGTATTATTGAAAACCATCTATAAAGAAAATGAAAGATACGCCAATTACCCGACAAGGAGTTCCAACTTACGCTTGTGTTTAACAGAATGTGTAACTAAATGCAGTGTTATAATCGTGACGGCTATTCTACACAATGTCAGGATACTTCGTTGTCCACACTAAGTGATCCTACGAATACACGGCATTTAGCCCTTAATGCATTTGATAACGGTAGCACTGCCTCCGTGGAAGCCAACTTAGTTCCATACAACGCGTTAAACGGTTTACAACAATCGCACCAGCATTCAGAACATTCCCCAGCTAATAATACTAGCGGCAATAATAGCAAGAACAACTGTGATAGTTTTAATACGCTAACGTCTCCATCCTCTTCGACAAATTCTCCTTTCAATACGTTAGTCCTCAGTCAAATGCCACATTTCGGTTTAGGTGGCGGTGGACCAGGGATGTCCAACAATGCTTACGGCCAAACGCCACCTAGTCCGCCATTGCATCATGCCGGCGCTGGTGGCAATGGTGGTTTAATGCCCCCGAGCCCTCCGCATCAACAACACCACCAACAACAACATCATCAACATTTAGCGATGATTCCGCGAGGTATACCGGGTGGCGGAGGCAATGGTCCTATAATGTCAACAGGTTTAAACAGCTCCGTCAGTAACGTGACAACGACCGCTTCAACGTTCCGTTCACATATTGCAGATAAAAAGCTTACCAGAGAAGCTATGGAGCATTACATGAGAGAACGCAATGACATGGTCATTGTGATATTGCATGCGAAGGTAAGCTTTATTAAAATAAAATTTGCTGATCTTTCTGAAAAAATTGGTTATTGGCTATCGATTTTAACAAAGTGCAACGAAAATGGACTAGAAACACGATTTTGCTAATTAACGGTGCATTTTATTTGCGATATATATCTGGATATTTGAAACCCATCATGGGGTGTGATGTTAGGATGTGGAGGTATGAGGACCCATATGAAGTAAAACAAGAACAAGATCCACCACCACGATCGATAAGAGGTATATTCATTTTGTCAAGACGTTTGCAACGTCAAGAAGCCAGCATCAGAGACCGCACAAACAGTACAATATATTCTTGATTTGCACCAAATTCTAAATCGACTTAAGCATGTCCCTCTGTCCGTCCGCGAAATATTCTCCAGGCCGCAAGAATAAAGCTATCGACTTCAAATTTTGCGAAAACGTTGAAAGTGCTATCACGTAGCTTGGTATTGAAAACGGGCCAAAAATCGGCCTCCACTTCATATTATAGAGCCTACAAATTTAGCTGTTTTACTTTTTTTGGGTTTTTTAAGAATAACGGTGATTTGTATAAAAAATTCGGTCGCGACCGAATATAATTTTTTTACTTGTTTCGCATTCAGTATGAATGAATTGTAGTACCTAATTGGCATATGCATTTATTGTAGGACGAAAGTTTTACATAGATACGTGAACCTAGTAAATAGATTCAAAAATGAATTTGACATAATTACTACATGTGATAGATCATTTTTTAAATTTTAGCACTTTTCAGGTGGGTTACTTGTGGAGTTGAATCGTGTAAAAGCGCATAAGTCAATTTTCCAACCCTTCCGACTTTGGGCTTTTTTAAACGATTAATGATTTGACTAAATCACGGCACAATAAACAAGAATAAAATTAAATGCATGCTAATATGTAAATATGTTTGTATTTATGCAACTTCTTATGAATGGAATTGCATTGAATTTAGTGTCAGGACATTGCCGTGTTTCTGAAAGTGACAGAGCACAGGACTTAGTCTCTTATTGGATATCTATACCTTACAACACCTGCTGTGATGTTGGTTACAAATATTATCCAAATTTCGTCTTACAAAGATAACAGTTAGAGCGGTGTATATTCGCTTTTTTCAGAAGTGTACTCTACCGTAGAGAATGATTATAATTATGTATTGGTGAATGCTGATTTTACTTCGCTAAGTTAAATTTGGAGACACATTTTGTTATAAGGCTATATGAAGTTTGCTTAAATTTGTACAATATTTAGAAGTAAAGACAAGCTTAGGTTGACTTAGAAAGTTGTTTTCAATCGACATAAGGGACAAGCTTAGGTCGACTTAGAAAGTGGTTTCCAATTGATCTAAGCTTGTTCGTTCGTCTGATGTCTGATCATGTATTTGTGTTCAACCTGCAGATGGCAATTTTTGAGATATTTCGATGAGAACTAGATTTTATTTAGGGGCAAATATTGAAGATTTTCGGATCGGACCATTTTTTCGACATCCTCCAATATAATGCCTTATTTTGAAAGGTTGTAGTATTAATCGTGTCCCTGGACGCAACAAAGCTAAGGATACATCCAAAAACGAACACTATTGGAAATCGAGAATTCGGATCGAATTACCTTTTCGACAACTTCCAATATAACGCATTAAAGGTGCCGCAAATTTATAACCATTATATGTTCATGGTGGCCCGTGGCTGGCTATAATGTATTTACTTGTTTTCCCTTGTTTTAGGGTTGGATACCGAACTATTTCTGTAATTATCAATAAGGAGCTATCGTATGTATATTAAGGAGTGTGGCCTTTTCACTTATCATGTCAGAATTCCAGATAATTCCTACGAAAATGTTTGCAAAACTTCTTGACGCCCGCATAAAATCATGCCCATCGTCCTTCTGATGTCATTTTAGAAAAGACGCACAGACTTGCTTACGATATAAAAAAAAAATTCAAACACCATTAATGTAATAGAATTGAGAAGTGTAATCATTTTCATAACTTATACTTTCTCCCATACTATGCTCACAGCAGACACCCTCCTTGGCAATTTAATCATTGGGTCGTCGATGACCTTGTCTTGTCTGCTCCTATAATCTAACTTAGCACGTGTATTGCATCTAAGAATAATGATGGATGGTGGAGGTTTATTCGCAGTAATTTCGTGGCTGCACATAAGTGAACCGCGCGGAATTCTGCGTTAAAATTAACACTTTTGCAGTAATTTTAGGAAACTATTGAAGCAAATTCCAGGACATGCACTTCGTTTATATGTTGAAAAGAGGGGAGTAAAAAACTTTTTTCCGATTTGTTTGTTTTTTGATTTCCGAACAGATATGCGAATGCCATATACGAAGAGAACTACTCTTATGAGATTGTTTGCAGAGTGGTTGATCCAGTACCTGTTGAGACGAATCAAATCAAAGATTCGATAGGTTTCGATTTAACAGCCTTATAATTTGAACATAGTCGCAACTGTTACAATATACAGTGTAGCGGTTTCGAAAGATTTATGAAATTTTGCTATATATGATGAACAAGCTTGACTTTTCTTCGTATTTTATGAGCCCTCTTGGCAAATAGTCTGAAAAAAGTCCACATGGAAGAGTGTACGAATTTGTAAAAATTCGTTACGTAATAATACTGAACAGTCAGTCAGTCTTTCACTAATCTATATATATATATAGATACTAGGAAGGTAACAAAATTTATATATTGTAGTGATGATGTTAAAGGGAGTTTCGCTTTAGCAAGGGTCTGAGATTAGCATCTAAGTATAGTGTGAATTTGTTTGTGTTTTGTATGATACTTTCCACATAATATCTCGTAAAAATATTTTGGTTTCTATAATAATAGTAGAAAACTCAAGTAAAGTATCTTACCTTTATAAAGTCACACGTTGTGCTGTCAAGTGTAACACAATACCACCAAAAACCAACTCTAACAGCAGACTCACAGTCACTTATTAAAACCGTCTTTAGCAAATGAACACGAATACCAGACCAACCAACATTCTTACGATTTGATTTAATAACATTTTCGTACTTACATATATATATATATGTATATATATATAGATATATTTTTTAACCACAACAAATGCATTTTATGTGACAATAATCAAAATAATTGATGGCAGGAAGGTAACAACTGCTTCAAAAACAAAAAGCAAAACAAAACAAAAAAAAAATCAATAAAACTATTAGAATTTATTATTATTATGAATTTAATTGTACTTTAATTAAAATTAAAATTAAAAAAAAAAATATTGCACTTGTGCCGCAAGCGCACACACACACATTTACACACGCTTTCAGGCCATCAGTCAGCCAGTCTGTAGAGAACTTATTAAGCGAAAGCATTCAGGTGTGAAGGATGTGAGACACTCGACAATGGACACTTTGGGTTTGTCCTTTAGTTTGGCTTTGTCAGTGTTACAAATTGCGGTAGTGGTTATTGCTTTTGTTGTTGTTATAATTCTTACGTGTGTAAATGACTTTAGGCCGCAACTTCTTGGTATTTCTTTTTATTTTATTGGTTTTTTTTTTTTTTTTTTTGGTGGTTTTGCATAATTTCGCATAGCAAATAGTTAGAATTTTATTGTCAAGTATTTTTCGTTTCGGACGGCATTTGGTGTACAACTTGCGGGCAATAAAGGAAAAATTAGCATTTTTTAAATTTCTATGCAAATTAAAAAGGGCAACTATTTTTTGACTGAGAATATGTTTAAGAAGAAAAGCCGTTAAAAGAAAAAGTAGTCAAAAAAAAATTTGAATTAAATTTTTAATAAAAACAAAAATACCTTCTAATAAAATAAAAACTAAAGATAACTTGATATCTTCTTTTCTCTTTTAGGTAGCTCAAAAATCCTACGGAAATGAGAAACGTTTTTTTTGTCCTCCCCCTTGCATTTATTTATTCGGGTCGGGATGGCGTCGCCGTTATGAGGAAATGTTGCAAAAGGGCGAAGGGGAACAAGGAGCCCAATTGTGTGCGTTCATAGGCATAGGAAGTGCCGATCAAGATATGCAACAATTAGATTTGAATGGCAAACAATATTGCGCGGCCAAGACCTTATTCATTTCGGACTCAGATAAGCGAAAACATTTCATGTTATCGGTAAAAATGTTTTATGGTAACGGTCACGATATTGGAGTTTTCAATTCAAAACGCATTAAAGTGATTTCGAAACCTTCGAAAAAGAAACAGTCATTAAAAAATGCTGACTTATGTATAGCTAGCCGTACAAATGTGGCTTTATTTAATCGTTTACGCTCACAAACGGTATCCACACGTTACCTGCATGTTGAAAATGGTCATTTTCATGCGTCTTCAACGCAATGGGGAGCCTTTACCATTCATTTACTGGACGATAATGAATCGGAATCGGAAGATTTTAATGTCCGTGAAGGTTATATACATTATGGTGCCACAGTGAAATTGGTGTGTTCTGTAACTGGTATGGCTTTGCCACGTTTAATAATACGTAAAGTGGATAAACAAATGGCTTTGTTAGAGGCAGACGATCCCGTTTCCCAATTGCATAAGTGTGCCTTTTATATGAAGGATACCGATCGAATGTATTTATGTTTATCACAGGAAAAAATAATACAATTCCAAGCGACACCCTGCCCTAAAGAGCCCAATAAGGAAATGATTAATGACGGAGCTTGTTGGACAATCATTTCAACGGATAAGGCGGAATATCAATTTTTCGAAGGAATGGGTCCTGTCTCGTAAGTGCACTCGAAGGGATAATGAAGGCAATTTTGTTTTTACATGCACCGTCTTTTTAGTTCACCCGTCACACCAGTACCTATAGTTAATTCATTAAATTTGAATGGTGGTGGAGATGTGGCCATGTTGGAGTTAAGTGGTGACAATTTTACTCCTCATTTACAGGTTTGGTTCGGCGATGTGGAAGCCGAAACTATGTATCGCTGTACGGAAGTTCTCTTGTGTGTGGTCCCTGAGATATCGCAATTTCGGGGGGAATGGTTATGGGTATGACATGACCATTTAACTTATATTATATACAGTTTTTTTTTTCATTTTTGGTTTTTCTATATCACACATATTTTCTTTAGGTACGCCAACCTACCCAAGTGCCCATATCGTTGGTACGTAATGACGGCATTATTTACGCTACAGGGCTAACGTTCACTTATACACCTGAACCGGGACCAAGAACGCATTGTACCCAGACCGAAGAAGTAATGCGGGGAACTCGTCATAATAATAATAACATTACCGGCATGAATAATAATAATAATGTGAGCAGTGCTCACTCGCCCAGTGATAGTAGTGCAACGGCGGGTCTCAATAACAATCACCTGCAACAGCAGCAAGCGCTGCCCTCAATGTCAGAAGTGCAATGGAATGCTCATGCAGGAGGTTTATCCTGAGTGCTAGCCAGCTTTTTTTGTTGGCATTTGAAATTGTTAGTTTTTTAACCTTTCCTCCTGCTTTTTCTTTTCATTTTGAAACTAAGTATTTATATTAATTTTAAAGTTTAGTAATAATTTTCTTTCGAATTTTTCTCCTTTAGCAACCAGTCTCTTGTCACTTTTTAAGAAAAAAAAAAAAAAAAACAAAAAAAAAATTTATTATAAAACTAAATTTATTATAAAACTAATTTTTTTTTTTTTTTTTTTTTAGTAATTTTTGATGCATGTATATAAAAGTGTTATTTACAACTTTTTCGTAATGACACCAGACAAAAAGCTCATTTTTATATGTATATATATATATCAATTTTATATATGTTTGTATACATATTGATTATCACAACCTTTTCACTATACTATGATCATTAATGAAAACTGTTGACATAAACCATTTGTAACCTACATAAATTTGGGTATTATTAAGACTTTTGTACATATACATATGATTATGTACGTATACAAGAAAAAATTTTATATGCTACGTCACATATATAAATTCGATAAGAAATTTTTATACTCCTGAACACTTACCAGAAACTTATCAATGATGTATAAAGAGTGAAAAAAGAAAAACAAAAAGACAGAAGACAACAAATTTATATCAGCTCTCATTCATGTGTATTATTTTATGCTAATTCTATACTCTTTAATTTATACATAAACACGCATATGTACATTTTAAGAGAATAAAAGTGAGAATAAAATATTTTCTAGATAATGTATGAAATATAATGATTTTGCTTATATAAGAAGAAGAATCATTCACACAGCAACTGCAAGTTCACTAGATATTGATAACAATTGTCTAGACATTCTCTTGTTTTTATACCCAGCAACAGAGTATGAGGGTTATATCCATTTTGTCAAAGCGCTACGTTCGTGATCAGCATCAAATTTATGGATCTTCTCCTGACTGCAAAAGAGAAGCTGCGCCAAATGGCAGAAGTTCCTGCAAGCAGGTTAGTTTTGAAGACGGGACAAATCGTTCGACGGACACGCCTATATAGTACTACATTAACTGAAGACACCTACGTTTTTTAGAAACAAGTAGAAAATTGATTTCTTGCTCATTGCTCACAAACTATTCCTAAAGCAGATAAGTCTACAAAAGTTTGAGCGTATATGTTATGAGCGAAGCCGTAGTACCTGCAAAAAATGACGAAAAATTGACCACGCCTATCCAATATGATAATGTAGAAAAGCTTAATCTATTTTCATTGCTTTTAAAGCGCCGCGAACCAAGCTTCAAAAACCTCAAAACATATATATTCCTTACCATTTTCAGCTTTGGAATGCATCTAAGTATGCCCATCTGTTTATCCGTTTTATCTGCCAACTTCCTTTTCTCCCGTTCGCAAAAATTAAGATAACGCCTACAAAGTTACAAACGAATTTGAAAATTATCTAAACGTTTCAAAGGATAAGCCTGCGACGCCCATAAGTCCATGTAACAAGAACTGTGAAAACTTTTGCTCCTTATGCATACTATACTACGTATACTCTATATAAATTTATACTTGTATTCTGAAAATCTGAAAAATTAGCCACGCCCAATCAACATTATGGATTATAAAAATCTAGTTGATTCCCTTTTTTTTTGTCTCTCTTGGAGTAAGGGGTATAAAAGAGTCGGTCACGACAAAAGATAATTTTGTTACTTGGTTGTTGGTATAAATTGGGAATTTATTGTGGCAAAAACGTACATTGTTCACGAAGCGTAAATTCCGAATTTGACGGTATCGTCTTTAGGTTTGTTGGCTTGCCTTTTGCCTGGGCGCTGCTGGTTATAGAAAACTATATTCGATTTCAAATATGATCATAAATTAATTTTGAAATTGAATTGAAATTCGTGACGCGTCCGCTAACACGAATGATTCCTGTGGATAAGAAACTGTACCGTACTACTAAAGCTTCCGTTGAAGGTAGGTAAAACGTCTACAGCTTAAGCGATTATGTCTCCTCAGATAAAAAAAATTTCCCTTCCCTGGGTAAGAAAAGGTAAACTTGTAAGCAAATTTAAATATCTTGTTTTAGAAACGAAGTTCCGGCAGAATGAACATCTAAGCCATCAGCTCGAACTTCAGCATATGTAACTTCCTCGTTATAACATAGCATCATTCACTACCTCCATCACCACATTTAACATATTCCATATTCCGCTGTACTTAACGCTGTCATGAGTATAACATTTCAAGCATGTGCTCTGATAGGTATCTCAGAAATCCACTGCATAATTAATATCTCCCTCATTGGTTTGCTAAATACAAATTAAACATCGAAGTTATTCCTGTACCTTAGCGGTATTCCCAGCAACTTATATGGAAAGAATCAAACCTCAATGTAAAGGAGATCAACGCGTTTAGATGGAATATTCTCGTATCTTTTTGATGCACTCACATTCATAAGCAATTTAAGGTTAGAATCCATCCATTAAATTGCAGTTACGGCTTTAAAAAAACGGTTGTTCATCTTTTAATTCTAAGAATTACCGAAAGTTTTTGCCTAATATTCCCTTTCCACGAGATTTAATGCAACGTTAACAGTAAAGAAAATTTGCGATGTTCATGGAGATTACATAGCAACAAGCGTGAACGTTGGCTCAAAAAGGTCGCTAGTGGTGAGTGTGAACTCTCTAATAGGCCTCGAAGTGGGCGACCAGTTGAATTTCATGAAGACACGCTAAGATCTCGAACGGAAGCAATTCCGAAATAACGTTTGCGTCCACATAGTAGGCTATAAAAAACACTTACACGAAACTGAATATAGGCCAGGAACGAATGGGGAACGATTCAATTATCTTGGACAAGAGTAAGAATATTCATCGTCCAATTTGCTTTTCATTACTATCCAGACAGCGTAGAGATCCTTTTCTTCGCAGAATCGTTACTGGAGATGAAAATGGATGCATTACGATAATATAAAGCGTTCCAAGCAATGACTTTCTGCGAATCATACCTAGCTTCCCAAGGATATACTTTGAATCATATTTTGCTTCCCGAACCTTATGTTTCTATAAGAAAAGTATTGAAAGTTTGCAAGAAGGATTGCAACATGTTCCTTAACAAAGATGGATAATAATAAGGTAATAAATAAAGAAACAAAAGAAGAGTAAAAATTGTTCAAATATCAAGCGTGGTTGAGCTTTCAATAATAGTTTCAATAATAGTTCTTTTAGACATTGCTTGGGTAAACATCGAAAAACTCTCGAACCTGATCGACGTCAATAGTGACTGGCCTAGATCATCTTATGGTCAAAGTTCTTGACAATCACTTTTAGTCCAGATCTAAACTTAGAACATAAACATTTTTCGCATTTTTAGTGATAATAAGCCAAGAAACACAGAGCATACGGTCAAGTTCAAAAATATTCTTATATTCGGCTTGCACCTTGAATTGCGATAACTGTTTTCCTAAAATGATGCACACTATGTTTGTTACTAGTTATGCCCTGCGTCATTTGTGATACAGGATGTACCAAATTTGGTCGGGTGTACACAACACACAGAAGGACTTGAGATAGGCCCACCTCTTATTATACCGATCGACTCGGGAAGGAATTTTGAGCTTATCTTTCGTTTCGGTCTGTCCATCTATCCGTTTGTCCAAATAATTTGATGAAATTTGGTATGCCGACCTGTTTTAGTCTAAGGACGGGCGTTATTGAAAATAATTCAGAAGAAAGTTTGTGAACCACTCACCACATAACGCTTTGTTTTGGAAAGTCGTATATGAAAAGTTGTATATGCGTAGCCGTATTAAGCAAAGTTGTGTAGAATATTTAATGGTGAGCCCTGGCCGACTTATTTATTTCTTTTTTTTTTAAGTATTTATTTAACTTTTTCATGTCTGTCTTAAGAAATGGCATAAACGTCGAAGAACGAGGTTTTAATCGGATAAAACTCATTTTTTTTCTAACTCCCAATACTATGACATGGTTATAGGGTTTTTTTCTTTTTTCTTTTTTTAAGAAGAGAACTCTTCAAATATTATTTAGAAGTCTGCAGTCTCTTTCTTGAGCCTCTTCGTTGCTAAAAATGAGTACAATAAGCAATACAACCGCCGTTCATTTCAGTTCGTCGCGCAGCGTGTTTGCCAGCAAGTTATGAGGAAGAGAGTTCTTTCTGAAATAGGACTTGCGCAAATTTTACGCAATAAAAAGTTTTCTGCAACAATCCATATTATATGCAATGCATGCAGTGATCGGATGAGTAAGTGTAGATGTGGCTCGACACATAGCTTATTACAGTTATTATTAGTAATAACCATTCAGGTTTCTTTTAATCTGAAACGATTGCTTGGTTTTTGAATTTAAATCGCTGAGTGTAAGAAGCGAGAATTTGTTGTTAAGTTTATTAGTCTAGACACGGCTTTTATATCGTAATTATTAAGCCAACTAAGGCTAACAGATAACAACGAGAGAGAGAGAGAGAGAGAGAGAGAGATAAGAGTGATCGGCTAACAAATGCGTAATCATATGCCCAATAAACATATCATGCTCAAGCATGCGTTAATACATTTTCTCTGCAGATGATAAAAACAAAAGACTTAAGTCAAAAACTTTGTACAAATAAAAATCAATTCCCATGAAGATTTGCACGTAATGGCCTGCCCACCTAAATGAAATTGACCTGTAAGCAAGTTTCTTCAGTTCCAAAGCGTGCAAAAACACAATTTTTACTTGTTTTCGATGCAAATTATTAATTAAGAAAAAAGAAAACATGGCCGACGTTATACTATTACTAACGCAATTTTTTTCATTGTCGATGTACTATTATATATATACTATTTAGGTGTTTTTTTTTTTTTTTTCTCCTGAAAACATTGCATTTTGCAATCTCATTCCCACGCGTACTATGTGTTTGTGATTTCTTTATTTATTTATTTTTGATTGTTTTATTTCTGCTAATTCATTTTATATTCACCTCATAATTTAGCGTGTGAAAAACTCGGGTAGCCCAAGAGTCTAAATATGTTTATTATAAAGATTTTTTTCTTATTCAAGTTAATTAACTAACCAACCACCACTACCACCAACGAAATGGAATAATTTCCACTATGCTAGAGACACTTCATAAAATGCAAAAGAAAAGAAAAAGATTTGCAGTACGAAGAAGAAGAAGAAGAAGAAGACCAAGCGAGAGAGAGATAATATCGCGTGTTATAAGTTAAAAGAAAATTGTACTTAAAGGGGAATATCTTAGCGAAGGAATACCTAAGGAATTTCTTATAAGATGCAAGTGTAAAGAATCGAGGGTTGCGGTAACTACTTTTCGTTTTGTCAGTTTTTGAACTTGCTTTAGATTGTATGTATATAGTAGTAGTCTCTCATTAGAATTTTTAATTTATGAACATAAATAAGAAAATAATTTCCCACACATTAATTTAGTGGTGGAATTACATATATATATATGCTTTGATTAATAGTT